CCCGGGATCCGTTTTCCATCAACTAGTTGGTTTTTCGTACGTCATCCGTCGCAGGGGCTGCTTCATCTCCCGTTATACGCGCGGCCGGATAAACGAGAGCAAAGAGAGAGACTCGCGTGCGAGGTCCCTTTGCTCTCGCCTGTTTTCCCCGCCGCTACTAACAATAAGTAAATCGACGGCAGTCGCGTTCTTGTTTTCTCATCCCGGATTACAGCGGAAAATGTCAGAGCGCCACTTAAATGAGCCGTCGATTGATTTTCCGGCGTCCGTTAAAGCCGAGGTGGAGAAGGATCTAGGCTGCCGCCGCCGCCGCCGCCGCGGCCGTTACGAGCGAGAAAGAGAAGGATTCGAGTCGTTGATGAAAATGCAAATCGTGAAAAATAAATCGTCCGTGACGAAAGGACCCGACTCGAACGATAGGAGATCCATCTCTCCTCGGACAGGCTTGAGCAAAAGGGAAGAGAACGAAATGCGCGCGCGCTATTAATCAGCATCTCGCGGATTAGCCGAAGCGCGGGGGTGAGACGCGAGTGGTAAATCAGCCGCTGAAATTCAGCTGCCGGGTGACGCGCCGCGACGTGAAAGGTCTTTGCGGAGGCCGGAATTTCACCGCTCGCGCAATATCGGATCACGCCACGGCGACGTCGAGACAACGAGATTGTACGAAAGCGCCCGTTGACAGAGGCGCTGTCAACTTCTCCGCGTCAGTGACACGCGCGCGCACTCGACGCGGGACAATAAGACACCGTTCGTCCGTGATAAATAACGAATTCGACGAGCCAAACAGCCAGGCCGGGCTAGAAATTGCTCGATACGGTCCGGCGGATATTTCTAATGCGTGTCAAATCTAAGGACGTATATAGGGCTCGCGTGTCGTTTTATGAATATTTTAAGCCGCGGCTGACCCAGATCGTCCATCTCACGACCCGGGAGGGAAAAGCAATCTGACCCCGCGCATTGATACTTCGAGGCTCGTTTACCTCACTTCGTCTCGCCGCTTTCGTTCCTGCGACGGTTTTTTTTTGTCGCCGTAGAGTGCGCGTGGTTACATATCGCCCTCGTCATCGTCCCTCGTTCGTCATCCTTCATCCACACTCGACCGAGTCTCTGTCGTTCGTCAAGTCGCGCCCGCGTTGTCTCTTCGTCGCTGCCGACTCCTTTTGTCACCCTTTATACACGTGCGCGCATGCATTTACCGTCCCTTTTTCAAGCCTTCCGCACCGGCGCTTTATCTCCGCGAATGTCACCGCTGTCGGTGCTCGCGCGAGACTCGTCGATCGCCCGCCCAGAAACGCGATTTATAGCGTGATTTGTGGATTCCGCCATTGTTGCCACAATCGCGCCGTTTAAAGCGGAAAGCCGAGCAAAAGGACTTCGCCAAAAGGGAGAAAGAGAGAACGTCTTGAACGCCAACTCTTGTCGCGTGAATAAAAGGCGCTCGCTTTTGTGCGCCCGCGCTCGCGAATCATAGATCACGCGGTCATCTGCCTCTGGTCTTGCACACCGAGGCGGTAACGGCAATATTTCACGGGCTTACGGAGAAGCAAAGAAACGTAATGGATACGAGCGTGAAGGATATGAAATTGCCGTGTGAATACTTCACTCCGTGGATATGAATGAGAGATCGTTAGCGCGACGAGGGTCTCTCGCGGCAAAGCCGTCCGGGAAATGTCACAGCTCGCGCGTCCGGTTTCTTTCGCGTGAAGAAAAAGCATGGGAATCAGCTGAATCTTTCGTCAAGGTCGTTGCCTTTCCGCAAGCTCGCTCGCGCCTGTATGTATGCAGCATAATGTCGCCGTAAACCTACGTCGACCACTCGGCGACCCGGCTTCCTAGAACGTTTCATTGAGCGCCACGCTCTGGCCGAGCGCCAAGTGACGTCACGAGCGGAAGAGGATCCGGGTATTGCCGATAGTGATGGCGATGTCGTGGTCGGGAACGACGGGGGGGATGATAGGGCGCGTCGCGGTGGTGATTTCGACCTCGTTTGAGCAAGAGAGATAGAGGAAGAGAGAAATACAAATGCGATTTTAAATCTTTAACAGAGAGATTGTCTTTTGGCAAAGAGCTAATTTTTTCGTTTTAATTTTTTTCTTGTACTTGAAAATATTTTATTACAAGAGAAAAAAAGACCGCAGAACATTGCGTCGGCTATCATAGGTTTTCAGACTGGCTTCGCGAGGAGGAGTTTACGACAGCCTCGAGAAAGGGATACTTGAAAAGTAACACTAATAGTGAAGCATATAAAAGCGGAGTCATGTTCTCGCACGTGACCGAGTCGTACCTCTGTCCGAGGTAATTCTGTTCTCTAATTTAATTTGTTCGACTCTCCGCTGAAAGATGCTGCTGGTGCACTTCGTGCGGAAAAAGCGAACAAGCCTACGCCTGACTTCTTCCACTGTTTTGTCTGTTTATACGTTGAGACATATCCCTTGCCATAATAAATTTTATTTGCACCCGTAAAAAAAAAACAGAATTTTGCCGAAATATTAATTTGGATAAGAAGATTTAGAAAACTAATGCACGTATATTGACCGAGAATTTTTTTTCACCGGAAAAAACTTTTTATCCGATTTATATTGCCGATAATGAGATCGCGCCACCGCAAGAAGAACGACGAGAAATTCACTTTGACTCACTCGGGCGGTGCGGGAATTTGAATAACAACCAAGAAGACGGAACAAAAGAAAGGGAGAATTGCTTCTTCATTTCCGGGTCGCGCATGAGTGACTCCTGTCTGGCCGTTTAAAAGAACGGGCCGGGCGCTCCAAAGAGTTATTATTCTCGCCAGGAAAAGGGTGATTTTATCGAATGAGTGAATATCCCGCGTTCCTCATCCCTGCCGACCTTCAAATAAAGCGTTCGAGCGATTTAATTAGCGAAAATTCACTTTTGTTGCCGTACAGAAGTGCAGCCGCCACGCACAAATGAAGACAGAAGGGATATAAAGGCAGGAGAGATCCTTGGGGAAGAAATCTCCGCACGTTCGAGAATCTCAAAAGGCACACTCGTGCCTTCAGCGAGGGTGAAAGGAAACCGGAATCTTAATCTCGCTCGAATTTCTCGCAACCTTTCATCCGAAAGACTGAAACGATATTTATCCGAGCACGTTAATTTGTCATACGAGTCGCCAGGCGGGTTATAATTTGCATTGCGCGAATCGACATTCCTAAGTTCCGGGCAACTTGCGTTTCGAGAGCCTGAGAGCGTCTCCGATGGCAAAGTGACGATAAGAGAAATTAGGTCCCATGCGGCTGTTCTATTAATACATAATTATGTGCGCTAATTATGAACGTAAATGTATCTCCGAAAGAGAGAGAGAGAGAGAAAGAGAGAGAGAAGGGAAGGAAGAGAAAGAGAGAAAATAAAGGGAGAGAAAATCGCCGTTTTCGCAATCGCGACTGCGCTGTTTGCCATGTCAGCGACGTAAATTACGCGCCGTTGTTAATCACCGTATTCTTCGAGTACAGTGCGACCCACGCTCGCCCGTGATTACATTTGCAAAAATTCACGGCGTAAATCGGGCAACGTTAGCGCCGGTGTGAATAGTCACCGTCGCGTCACCTTCGCGAATTCAATTTTGTACGCGCGCGATGTAATATTCCGAGCTGAATCGCCCTCGCGATCGGCGGTCACGCATCGGAGTGACGCCCGTCCATGTCACGTTCTCTCCGTTCTCTTCTGAATTTATCGTATACGTCGCGAAAACAAAAGAGAAAAACAGGATCGCGCAGGATTTACCGTTGTGAAAGCGAGGGCTTGCGAGGACGAACATTAGGATCGAGGAATGCGTGGCCGGGGATTATTCGGTTATTCCGCCGCTGAAAATCAACGGACGGCTCTATATAGCGCGCCAAATAGTAATTGGTTTCGGTTCGTTCGACGTGCAAACACTCGTCGAATTTCAATTCACGTACGAAGCCGCGCTGGCCGCTAAAAGGAGGCGGCGGCGGGGGAGTGACGAGGAGAGGAGACGAGGCGGATTCTGCGGGGGATAGTTACGTGCGCGGGATGCTTAAGAATTGTTTGTACACCGTTACCGGCGTACGATGACGTTTCATTAAAAAATAGCCGACTTCCGCTTCTGTGACGGAGACTAAATGTAGACGAAATAGGCCTTCGCTGGTTGCGTTGCGATCGCGAGAAATACTTGTTGCTGACACCGCGCAGCGGTGTCCCAGCGGCATCGCAATTTTCTTTTCCCTTTTTCCCCCTAATTTCAATCAGTTTTGAAATTTTAATCGCGCGTGAAATTTCTAGTCGCAAAAATTGCGTGCTACTTTAGCGTGCAGCGAAACGTTGGTGTACCGTATCGGTGACGAAGTCTTGCTGTGTATTGCTGTTGGTGTCACGGATATCGGACGGTGTGTGTTCGGTTTGTTGGTGCTGTGCCTCTGTACGACTTACGTTGCACTGATTTCTCGTTACCTCGTTCATGTAGGACACCTCCGACAGTGGGATATAGTAGTAGCCCAGAAAGCGGTCCCACAAGAATCCCTTGCACCACACTTCCACCACGAGACCGGCATTCATGTCATTCGTTTCGCTGCGCAACAAACAAGTTTCGTTTAATTTTTTGCGGGGCCGCGAGGAAATGTCACGTCGCGAAATAAACAACCGCTGCTTTTTGCAAGCTCTCGACGGAGTAAGTTAAACGTTTTAAATTTAAAGATCGCGAGTCCGCTGGCGTCAAAAGCTGCACGAGTGAGCCAAGAAATCGAAAAAACAATGTATTGTAACGGTCGACGTCGAATCGAAAGAAAGTCTCTCTTTCATTCCACACAAACTAATTTTATTTTGTTTTTGTTTCTTTTCGCTAATCTATTTAACAACGTTCGGAAAAAGAACTATGATGAACCAAGGATCTCGTCTTGAACAAGCAGAACTTTGTCAAGCTGAGGATTGGTAATGCTGTGCTGCGAAAAAGAAGCACGTTTCACCGCCCGTAATTTCGCTGAGATTTTCGCGACTCTCTGCTACGCTCGGAAAAACTCGTGGATCGGCCAGTGGAAAGGATTTATTACGTTGGAATTAGAGTCTCGTTAAATAAGAGTATGATTAGTCTCGGATTCCTTTAGATGCGCACAAATTACCGGCTGTCCTAGATATTTTAGTGCCGTTGCGCACGCGATAGTTCCGCGATGTTTCCGAGCGATGGTAGCCGCGCGAGAATTTTCAGTTTGCCACGGAAATACGTTTAGCCCAACAGCAGTTTTAATGGGTTCTTTCACGCTCCGCCGTGTACAGAAATATAAATCCGCGTAAGAAAAAATCAATTATTAATTAACTTACAAGAGGAAGTCTTGTTCCCAGCATGGATTGGCCCCTTTCACAGTGACTGTCGTCGACTTCACGTTCTGTAGCTTCAGCGTAACGTAGGAGTTGAACTGCTCCGCTGCAATTACGTTCGATAATCCACGTTTCAGCCAACCGGTTGGAAGGTAACGCGTATTAGTGGCACGTGCTCTCAACGTACGAGCGAAATATGCTGTTGCATTAAATCATTCATGAAAATGTATATAAATGTTTCGATCGAGATACGTTTCTCATCAACTTTAATGGAATCGCAGATGAATTACACGCTCCGATACAAAGTATATCGCGGCTTTAGTCCCCTATAAAGTTATATCAATCGGGGATATCGTTTTGTTCTCGATTTAAAGAGCGATCCTGACGGCATCCTCGTGCGGTTTATGTCTCTGAGATGAGAACAAGTGCACGAGCGGAAGGGCCTGGCTGTTCCAATAAGCGGCGCCCACGTCGCTCGCTATACACACGCTCTTGGTTGCACGCCTTCGATAAGTCGCGCAAAAAAAAACGGGAGAGGGACTTTACGAGCCCGGGTGAGGCGCTTCGGGGCACCGGGTGGTGCGTCACCCCCGACATTTCGCTTTACGAGCCACAAAATTGTCTTCGGGTAGCCGGCGAAATATGTGGCAAGGGTCGCGCGCTCGACGGCTGACTTCGGTGAACATCCAACCGCTGAGCACGGGCTATTAATAAAAAATTAGACGCGACGTAAATAGGGCTCAGCGAAACGTGAAAATAACGCGTAGCCTCTCGTGACCTGAGATGCCGGCTGATATGGGACAAATCGAACGTTGTTTGCGTGATGAGAATAAGACGCCGTCGAGAAATTATTCGCGTTCTTACGAACGGGAGCCGGCGTGAATGCAAAACTTTCATCGACTTTCGGCAGACTAAATTTGTTCGTGATAACAACGCGGAGTTAATATGAATGAATGTGCGGAGACGTCGCATAAATAAATTCATGAAACTGGATACATTGTACGTTCGTGATGCGAGTGTGAACGTTATCGTTACACTTCAATCTCGCCACATTGCGTGAAATAATGGCTTCATAAGTCTGTTCCATACAGCGGGGCGTACACGTCACGTGCGGTTGAATGTTAAAAAATGCGTAATATAAATGCAAGAACGAAAACTGTCAAGGTCGCGTGTGTCATCGTGGAAAGTACTAAATAACGTTGCGCGACTAATTGGCGACGCGTGCACGATGTACATTCAAGATTGTTTTTATAATGTATTGTTAAAATTATTAATTACTTAGCTGTTTCCTGGCAGAAAAATTTAAAAAAAGCAAAGAAAAAAGAAAAACATTATATCAAGTTTTGGAAAGTATAAAGTATCCGTCTTAGATTTATAAGATCCTTTACATCTTTTTTCGTGCGGAAAAATGATTTCGGTATAAACGGAACGTCGTGGCATTCCGCTTGAGGAATCACATAATCTGAAACTTGGAACTATTCCAATCGCGAGTGCAATAAATTGTCCGCGAACTCTAGCAACGAGGTGTGGGTAAAGACCGCGCTACCGTGTCTCATCTCGGTCTCGATTTTGAGTACACGGTTGCACAACCGCGTTAATATTTCGCTCGTACAAGTTTGAGAGCAAACAGAGAACGGATCGACTTAGCCGTGAAATTCTCAGCCGTCTCGCCGTAACTTTTCCCATTTTTTTTGCCACACAATACATACGTACCATCCTCGCAGATGAACCGCGCTTTCTTCACTGCAACAGAGAAAGAACAAAGGCGGGATTACAGATTAAGAGTCCTTCGAGGAAGGAAAATCACAGGAATGACAACATCTTACATCTATATTCGCGCAATTTTGCGACTAATCTTGCAATCGCAGAACCTGTACAACACATTGCAGGTAAACTGCCGTAATCACGAAAGGTTTACTGTTAATTAGTTCCTTACGCGACCGTGTTTGCTTGCGTACGTGTATCAACGATCATTACACCAGCGTCGTATCTACCTACCGGCATTTTAGCGCAAATTATCGAACTATGTAATTACCCCGATCGTACTGATTACGCTTAATAACATTCAAATAGGCATGTAGGTCAAGCGATGTAAAATCAACCGCGCGCCCGATAATTACCCGTGATACATCGCACGCGTATGAAATTTCAAAATTGAATTTTCACCGGTGGAAAAATTTCACTCGCACGGCGTGTCCCTTTGTCGCGCCACCAGGCGCACCTATCGACTTTTCCGTCAGCTACTTATAAAGGCCACATTTTGCAAACGCATTACAAATTTACTGAACCGCGCGCGCGGAACACCAAGAAGGATTCGAGTGTCACGATCCGCTTTCTCTCCCTTTTTTAATAGCAAGTTTAACGAATAGGTCACGAGACGACCTTGTCTATAAGAATGTATATACGCGAGTGCGTGTGTAGGTCGAGCGCAACTCCGGCCGGTGTCAATAGCGATTTAAAGCGTTGACCTGTGCTAATAAATGCCAGGCAATGTGTTGCGATGAGTCCGCACGAATGAGTAACCGCCCTTAGGATTAATCGCGGCGCCGCAACGAGAGACGGCGCAGCGTTTCACGGCGACAATGTGTAACGAGCGATTGGGCGATGCAAGCACGATGATGATGAAGCGGGTCAGCCGTGTATCCGCAGGTCACAGTTCATAGAGAACTTTTTCTTCGCTCGACAGACGTGCCTTTCTATTTTGCGCGCATCGCGCGCGATTAATTAAGAGAGGGAGATTCTGCGGGCGTAGGAATATTCTCGTCGCTGTTATAAAATTGTCGGTCGCAGGAATGAGCGAGCGCTGATGTCACATAAACAGGGGAGAACGCCACGGGCGACGTGTAGCGCCGGGAACGCCGGTGAATCGACCATTACGTCCACTTTTCATAACCGGAGGGGTCGAGTGCGGTTGTCTAACAGGTGCGGCTTACACATCGATTCTTCCCCTCTCTCTCTCTCTCTCTCTCTCTCTCGCTCCCGTCTCCTTCTCCCCGTCTGTTTCTTTCCAAATAAACTCCCTGACAAATTAATTGCTCTCACTCGCTTAAAAATAATTAGACTCGTGCACGGCGCGCTGTTTGCTTTCGCGTCCACGCCTTGGCAGTCGGCCAGTCGCGATTGAAATCCGATATGCAGCGAGAAAACCGCGGGGAAATACCGATATTAAATCGACTCTGAGGCACAGAGTGAAACGCGAGCGCCGATACGTGTGTGCGACGTCGCGATGCACGTTAATTGCATTAATTCCGACGCGACCCGAGCGCGCCCCTCAACAGTTGGTTACATCTGAATCCTTCGGCGTCGCTGTTGAAACTATTACGTTATTAACGACGACAAAAAAAAAGTGGCGCACGGAAAATGTGCATCGGCGCAAAGTAAAACAAAAGCGTCGCGTATCCAAGTTATATTGCGCGGAATTGATAGCTCGGGGCGCCGAAGATATACATACATAAACGGCAGACACGACGGGGATGCCTATGTATCCGCGTGGGCGATGTGTTGTATGCACGCGCGCCGACGAAAGAAAAGTGAAACAATGACGTCAGCTTTAACGCTTCAGTTGCGATCTTTTACCTTCGAACAACTCGAGACAATGGACGCCCGGCGTATGAATACGTGCCAAGACCGTGGTATCGTTGTGTCACGAGCGAGCACGCATACATCCTCATCAAGCTCACCCCTCTTCTGCAAAGGGTGTTTCCCTGCACAGACGCGTCTTTGTATGGCACGTACACGCGTGCGGACGACGTCGTATGGGTGACACGCTGCTTACTT